GGACCAAAGGGCCTCCTACCTGGGCTCGCCGCACTGGCCACGTGGAGGCCCATCTGTCCCGGTTCGTGTAAGAATCGGGACTAAAGTTCAAGGGCATTAGTAACGACCTATTAGTCCCGGTTCCAGAACCGGGACTAAAGACCCTTACGAACCGGGACGAAAGGCCCTTTTTCTACTAGTGCAGCCCTGGGTCCTGAGGCCCCCCGCGAGCGATGCGGGGCAACAGGAGAGGCCTCGCCGCCATCTTCATCAGCAGCGCCCCGAGCGAAGCTGACGGCTGCCTCAGGCGGCGGGGAGGGAGGGACGAGAGGGGGGGGGAGAGACGGCGGCGGTGGGCTAGGGTTTCGGCCCTCGAGTCGCCCGAGAGGGTGACGCGAGGGAGAGGGGGGGCATTGAACCGAACCTGTACATACGCTTTCAGCTAAGCACAAGTTTATTGGGTGAGGATCAGCCATTTAACCATCTAACCTTTGGAAGGAAGCAACTGAGTAGTCGCTCCCCCCTGCCTCTAATCAAGGCGTCAAAAGCACAAAGAGAAATACACCAACAAAGATACACCAACAAAAGCATCCCCTGACTTCTATAAATAGTACCACCCGTTCGTATCAGCCAGAAGTCACGGGCTTTGAGTTTAAGGTCCAGAGTTTGGAAGCAAAAATGAGTGAGACGGTGAAGGTTAGTGAATTTGGGAGCATATACGGCCACCGTCCGGAGGTGGCCCTGAGGCTCAAGGGAATACCTTACCAGCTGCTCCTAGAAGACCTGCCCAACAAGAGCCAGCTGCTGCTCACGCACAACCCCGTCCATAAGTTGGTGCCAGTGCTAAGGAGTTCCCTGCTCTCTGCCGCTGGGCGAAAGAATATGCCAGCGACGAGCGTGCTAAGGAGTGCCTGCCGAACAAGGATGAACTGGTTGCCAAGTTCACTGCACTGAAGATGAAGTTTCTAGCAATGGCAGAGGTTCAGAAGTGATCCAGTGTAATCATAGGGAGGATATCATGATTCGGACATAAATCATCCCATGGACATGGTAATGATAATGGTTTCCTGGGAAAAGGAACAAGCTATTTAAGTGTGGTGCCGGATTTCTATGGAGTACTACTACTGTGTAATTCCCATTTGGTTGTAACTTGTCTTGCTTTCTCAGATATAGAAATCTGTAAACACATGGCGAGTTGTATCTCTTTTCCAATGCATGGTGCAGCTGCAGCCACCATTACTAGTAGATTGAAACTAATGCTCTTGTTTTAGAGCGTGTTGTTCACTTATTTATGACCACGCGTTTGTGTGTTTCTTTTTTCATTTGGGTTTGTTACTATGTGATGAAGCTATATGTAATTTGGAACTGCTGTACAGTCTGATTGTGTTGAGAAAACATTGGTCTTATTTTATTTTATGTCGACGTGAAAAAAATAATATTGATGTTTTCTAAATGTATATGGTCCATCTATTTGACAGGATCCACTGGTTTGTGTTATATCGTACACTGTTATGTTTTGAGGGACTTATAGTTGGAGGGAATACTAACATAGAAGTCCTGGAAGTTGAATGAGTAATAGTGGTAAATGTACATATCTTATTTGTTTTGGAATGTTACGGTAGTCTTTTTAGAAAATCTTGACTGGAGTACATGATCGTAACCACTTTCAAAAATGGTACCAGTATATGAACGAAGTGTGTCGGTTCCTGTATGTCACAAATTGAGTAGCTACAATATTTTGCATGTCACAGCACATAAATGTGGTTCATGGCTTAAACTTTCACCTTTTGCAAGCAATTATTGGCTTAAAAGAAGCACAAGCTGGTTTCTTTCAACTTATAAAACCCAAGAACAAAGGTAATTCACTTGATTTGCGATATTTTGATATACTTCTGTACTATGTGAACCTTTGAGAAAGTGAATGGACAGTCTCCCAAGTAAACAGCAGGCAGATCTATGGTCTGCCTTGCCGAACAACATGCTAATCAAGAAGCTTTAGCCTAAGATTGAATTACTAGCTCATCAATATACAACAACACATATGCCAAATAGAGTTACCATCGACTACTACTAATTGATTGAAGCTGATACATTGATTTTAGAGTTTTTGGTCACTTGGTTATGAAGACGAGTTTATGTGTTTCTGCTTGTAGTTACAGAAGCACCGTGAGCACTGTTACAAAATGTTGCACGATCTGATTATCTATATCTATCTATACCAATATAAAAAGACCCAAAGTGCCAGATCCAACTAATCTCGGTAATCAATTCATGTCAATCTAACGACCAATATCACAATGACGAGCATTCAATATGTTTAACGTGCAATACATATAGGTCCAAATATCAATATCGATGATAATCACACAATTATCATGCAATTAATATCTTTCCTAATATCAACATGCAATAAATATTGTTCCAAATATCAATATCAATGATAATCACACAATTATCATGCAATTAGTATCAACGTGCTATAAATATTGTTCCATGGCCGTGGATTGTGTGTGTGTGTGTGTACATGTCATGTTGGTGTGTGCGTGCGTTGTGTGCTTTACTCCCTCCGTCCGGTGAAAAGTATAAGCTTGGCTTTATAATTTGTCGACAAAAGAGTGTACTCATATCTTCCTAATGCACGTTAAAATGGAAAATGAATACTTCTCTCTCATCACACGGTACTCAAGACCAATAACATTCTACACATGGTCACCTTAATTTCTATACTTGGCTCATTGGGGACTGAGTAATTAAAGAGGAGAGAGATGGTTAGTTCATTGCATGCAATGTTATTAATTAGCAAATAAACATTAAGGTCTTTTGTTTTCCCCTCCTCCTTGGTCACGGTGCACAACCTAAGATGACTTACTGACGGAGGAGGGGAGAATGAGAGACCTTAATATTTATTTGCTAATTAATAGCATTGCATGCAATGAACTAACCACTGCATGTTGTATTTTATAGTCTCAAGTCATTAAAAGCATGCACACCCCTCGTCTCTTATTGGTTGATATGTGAAGAAACAAGAAAATGATGTAGAAGTTAATGCACCACGCATAAGTGTTTTGGGATTATTTGGTTTTCGTAAGATGACTTACACACCTAGACAAATGGAGTAGTAAAACAATAAAAGCCATAAAAGCGAAACGGGGAGTAAGAGAAATCAGTGAGATCAAAAGGAGGGGGTTGGCGTAACAACATAAAATCCCCAACTCCGGTTTAATAGTAGCATTAGACAACAAAGCGTAGAATTGTCTTTAATCACAGCAATCGTGACAACATCTCTCCAACTGCTATGTCGGATTCCTGGATGAAGATGGTGTTGCTCGAGAGAAGCTGAATGGGCGTGAAAGGTGGAGTGGGTAAATGCCATAAAATATCGAGCGGATCCCCATGCCCCATCGCTGAATGGATGGCATACCACATGCCCAACGCATGATCTATGGCTTCACAGAGCCTTTCTTCTTTCTCCTCCTCGAGGTCATACTTGTAGATGTCAAAATTTGAATCTGTGGATTCCACATAGTAGACGCAGTTCGCAGCAATAAATGGAAACTTCTCTGCATTAACAACAAAGCATCGTCGCGGACCAGCAAAGATGGCGAGGCTGCCAATGGTCTCCATTGGCTCAAGGACATGATTCTCAATGTCCAGCTTGTAGACTACCATGTGCTGTGGTTCCTTATGTAAAATAAACACTTCTCCAATGAATTCCAGAAAGAAACAACGGTTTGTAATCAGCACCACTGATCCCTGCTCGCTGCCGACGTATACAGCAGTACCTTTGAAGGCCAGACGCTTCATAGGAAAAGTGTCGTGCTGATGGTCCTCAGTCACATCATACACGGTAAAACATTCACTGTCAGGATCAGCCATGTAGCGCCTCCCAGTTGTGTGAGAAAGCAAGATGAGAGTGGGCGAAGAACCAGCGACGTAAACAGAAACGTCATTCTCAGAAATCATGGGAGCAACAAAGCGAATCATGTGGCCTGTGAGAGGGTTGAGGATGCACGGAGCGCGAGGGGGCTTCTTCTCCGCGAGTACGAAGAAACCGCCGTGGGTGGCGACGAAATAGAAATCACCGAGCAGAGGCAGATCCTTGCGGACGACACGGCCACTGACAGTGTTCACCAGGAGTCGGGCGTCGCTCTGGAAGACCTCGTCGATGACGATCCACCGGCGTGGGCGGAAGCGGAGGTCGGAGGAGTTCTTGGGGTCGTCCGTGGCGGAGCGCCACTTGGTGCAGACGGCTCGCAAGTCCATGTAGCAGTCGACGTCATTGATGTCGAGGAGGCAGTCGGCGATGCGGTTGACGATATCAGACGGGAGAGACGACCAGTCTGCCTCCGACATGGCTGAAGCTGGTGAATGGACGGGTGGTTCTGTCTGTGTGTGAGAAGGAAGCTCAATGGACTTGTGTTTTCTTCTTTCGGAACGAACGTGGGTAGAAGAAGGGTTTAAGTAGGGGAGTGTAGAGGCGCCGTTTGAGATTTTATTAAGCTCGAGAATCCAAGGGCCATGCCGTTCATGACCTCCATTTACTGTCAGCTCTTGGGAACTGACAACGACTACCTTTACTACTCTCCGGTTTCCAAGCTTCCTCGGACGTGGAGTTTTATGGACGTGCAGTAAAATTTTAGCAGTACGATAGATTTTAAAAAAATCAATCTAAATTCGTAATGCAATGCCACATTTAGTATTATGATATTTGAGAGAATATTGTGAATTCACAAAATGTCTCTTAATTAAGTGAAAAAAGGGTAAATGATATACTTATTCGATTATTTTTTCTGGTGTATACTTTTTCATTTTCTTGGTTGTATATTTTGCTTTCAACAAAGCAAAAGAATAAGATATGGATGGCATAAAATTTAGAAACAGGTAAATTTTATACGCGACTTGGTGATTTATTGCAGGGCAACTATTTCATTTTTCCAACGAAATTTGAAAGTGGATAGCGTTTCACATTGGAGTAGCTAGTTGAATATACAAGACATATGTTAATCTCCAACTCTGCATGTCACCGATATTTATTTTTGAGAGTATGCAAATTGCGTACCATAACTTTATAGAAGAGAGAAAGTCAATATACAAGACTCGAGATACACGCAATACACGCAAAACTCTGTCCTGCCCTCTGTCTCTCCTCCCAAGGAAAAGCCGGCTAGGGTTCTTGCCTCCCGTCGCCGATCTGCCCTCTCTCATGTGGCCTTAGGGTCGTCGGGATGCGGTGGATCCCGGCCCTTGCTGACGGGAGGGCTCCATTTTGAGGTGTTTCTTTGAGTTTTGTTAGGGTTTGTATCCTTCTTAGGAAAGCGATACTGCGGCGGCTACCTGAAGATGACATAAGTTTCTCCCTGTCTAGATCCCGTCCCGCTGATGCATCTAGCATCCTCAGAGGGTGTGTGGAGGTGAACCTCCAGTGGATCTCGTTGGATTCGGTCGGCGATTGTCTTTGGTGGATCTGCTCGGATTCAGTCTATGTGCTTGTGTCTTCAGCTTGGATCATTCCAATCTATTCTTTTAGTCATTGGCGGTGGTTGTTGTTCTCATGTGCTGGTTCTATGTGGCATTATCATTATGACTTTCCGACTGTCTACAAGAACAAGTTTTTCTTGGCTCTGGCGAAGGAGGGGCGATGACGGCGACGTGCCTTTGCGTCGCTTTAGTGCATATGGTCGTCGCTTGGTGGGCTACGGGTTTGGATTTAATTTTCATTATTTATAGTGTTCGTTGTACTGGCATAATTGAAGATGGATAGATTGGAAGTTTTCCGCAAAAAATATAACAGACTCAGATGCCCACAACCACACCTCGGCTGAAGGCAAAGAAAAACTGCTACTCCTCAACCTACCCCTCATTCCGAGCTCCTCAATGATGTTCGTAATGAGATTTGTCATGTTGACAGTGCCCGATGTGTTGCGAAACACCTGGTCGTTCCGCTGCTTCCAGAG